CCTATTTAGCCGTGCCATCTGCGAGAGGCATTGTTCTTCCACCACCATAAAGTGGTATAAGAAGTTTGATGAGTGGTGGGAGTGTGACAAGAATGTAATCACCTGCATGCCAAGGCTCTAGTGTTTAGTTGTCTAATAGTGTTGTAGAAGCAAGAAAGTCTTTCGACTTGTGGGTCACCACTCGTCGGGAGCTCATGATTATGTGGAGTATACGAAAACGATTTCATGCTTTATAGTTGATTAAGATGATAACGTAGAGGGATCTCTCACGGAGTAAGTGGAAATGCTCACCCCATTTGTTTTCCACACCCAGGTTTTCGGCGAGCTGGCAAAGGAGAGATGGCGAGGGTGGTCACATGTTTTTATGTTTATGACATTTATGTTTTAAAAGCTTCCGCTATGCAAAGTTTATTTTATGAAATAAGTCATGGTTCATGCAAAGTCAAGTTAAAGTGTAAGTTCTCAAGGAAACGCCATGGAATGTTCTATGTTCATGTATGAAATGTTTATGTTCATGAAAAGTTTTAATGTTTATGAAAAGATCATGTATGAAAAGTTTTTCAAAGTAAGTAGCACCCTGAGTTCCAAGTAAAGTTTTCAAGTTTTATAAAAAGAAAAATTTATTCTAGAAATTCAATGTACAAAAAGCGGGGTGTTACAGTTTGGAATCAGAGCCCAACTTTTGTGGTTCTGTAGACTCGTAAAGTGTTTTCAAAACGTTTTCAAAGAAATGACCACTCGCCACCGTCGCACCATGCCAACTCCGAGGTAAGCCATTTGAGTTAAGTTATTACGTGCATAATAGAATAACATGAGTTGGGGCTTAAGATTCTACCCATGAATGGATCCGAACTCTAGAGATGATCAAACATAGTGAGCTTAGAAGCAAGCGATTAACTCTAGCATCTTCCAGAAATGGCAATAATAAATCAAAATGTGGTGCCACCGGCCAACCGCATGGATCAAGCTAAAATGATGGGCCATTTTCGAAAGATGGATCCGCCAATCTTCACTGGAAAAGAAGGACCGGCACATGTAGATGAGTGGTTCATGACAATGGAAGATATCTTTGAGGTGTTGGGTTGCACCAATGAGCAAAAGATAACGTGCGGTCAATACCAGCTGAAAGAGGACGCTAAGAGGTGGTGGACCACCTATTGGAGGACGAAGCCGGTAGACGAGCGCACGAATTTGACCTGGGAGAGGTTCAAGGAGATCATGGCGGAAAAGTACTATCCCCAACACTATCGCGAGCAACTGGAGAGTGAATTCTGGAACTTAACTCAAGGGAGCCTAACTGTTGATGAGTATGAGAGGGAATTCACTAGGCTAAGCTATTTTGTGGAGCATCTGGTGGATACAGATGACAAAAGGGCGAAGAAGTTTAGAAGAGGTTTGAAACCTACTATCTGACACCTAGTGGCGAGCCATGGAGATCTCTCATATGCAGAAACTATGGGTAGGGCGCTACAAATTGAGGCAAGTATCAAGCTAGAAAAGGAAGCTACTTTGTTCATGGAGGCTCAAGCTTCGGGTAGCAACAAGAAGAGGAAATTCGAACACCCGAAGAAGAGGGAAGAAGGTGGCCAAGCTCTCCAACCCCGACCACTGCAGCAAGTGCCCGTCGTGGATAGGCAGGAATGCCATAACTGTGGCAAGAAGCACCGTGGAGAGTGTCTGTTGGGGCAGAACATATGTTTTCGTTGCAAGAAGCCTGGACACTTGAGAGTAAATTGCCCGGGAATCGGTCAACCTCCACCACCACCACAGCAGAACTTACCTCCGGCCAGACAAGGGAGGCTTGGAGAAAGAGCTCCAGCGAGGGTCTACACCTTGGCTCATTATGAAGAAGAAACGAAGAGGGAGCCGAAATAATTATCTTCTATT